CTGTGCAGGCACATCCTCATGGGTGTCAGCAGACAGAACCTGGGCAGCAGCTCAGGACAGCAAGCTCAAAAATGAGGAAACTCATGGATTGAGAGGGGAATGGTTTAATCAGTGAAGGGAACAAGCTTGAGTTTACCTTCCCCTTCACCTGATCCTTTTCACTCTGTGCTGATGGGCTGCTGCTTGTGACACTGCTGCAGGAGAAAGTCAGGACAGGGCCCCTCCCGTCCCTGTGTTCTGAAGGAAACTGGTGCAGCCCAGCAGCCTGGATGTGTGTCCATAATTCCCACTGCTCCCATGTGCTTCAGGGGTGAGGCCGGGACACGAGAAACCATGAAAAACATCTAAAGCAAGCATAAAAACCATCTAAAGCTGAAGAAACAGCAACTTTAGATCTGGAGCCCCAACTTTAGATTTGGATTTAGGAGGAGAGCAGCCCCTTGCACTGTTGTGCTGGGGGCTCTTGGCAGCGCTCCTTTCTTTAGCAGGAATTGCAGCACAACTCTGCAAACTCTGCTGAGGGAAGGGAGGAAAAACAACAAGCAGCGTCTTGGGAAATTCCGGCTCGTCTCGAAAATGAGGCAGAAAAAGCAAAAACCACGGGGTCAAAAAGTGGAGATGCCGGGGATTGAACCCGGGGCCTCATACATGCAAAGCATGCGCTCTACCACTGAGCTACATCCCCTTGATGGAACCCTCCTTGCACACAGTGTAGACACTGATAGCAGGAGCCGCAGGCCGTGCCCGGCGGGGACAGTGCGGTCACCCCGCATCCCCCGCGCCCCGCGCTGGGCCCTGGCGAAGGGAACGGAACGAGAACGGAACGGGAGCGGAGCGGGAACGGAACGGGACAGCGGCAGCTCCGCCCGGGGCGGGACCGCGCCCTCATAGCGCCAGGCAGCAGAGCCTGCATTGTGCCCGTCCTCGTTAGTATAGTGGTGAGTATCCCCGCCTGTCACGCGGGAGACCGGGGTTCGATTCCCCGACGGGGAGGTGCGATGTATTTTTGTCGCCGGATGTCATTTTTTTGAGGGCGGTCTCCCCAGGGTTTGTTGTGGCGCTGCCGTGGAACCCCCCAGGCCGGAGGGGCGGGACAAAGCCGGCAGAGCCACGTTTTGTGCCGGGGAGGGGAGCGGGCCCGCCGCGCAGCCCGGGGTGAGGGCGGAACACCCCGCGGGTGCCGGTACCGGGGGGCTCCTCGGGATCTTCGGAGTGGAAATCCTTGCGGGAAAGTGGAAATCCCTGCGGGAAGGTGGAAATCCATGCGAGAAGGTGGAAATCCCTGCGGGAAGGTGGAAATCCCTGCGGGAAGGGCCGAATCCCGGGCCGAACCGAGCGGCGGAACCCGCCGGGCCGGCGGCACCGGCCGGGCAGCGGCGCCCGGGGGGCGCGGGGCGGGGTCGTATCCACGGCCAGCGAGGGGCCTCTCGCCCGCCGAAATAGCTCAGTTGGGAGAGCGTTAGACTGAAGATCTAAAGGTCCCTGGTTCGATCCCGGGTTTCGGCAGAAGCTTTTTTTTTTTTTTTTTTTTGGTTTTCCGGTAGAAATTGTTTTGTTGTTGTTGTTTTTTTTCCCCTTTACTGCCAAGACGGTCGCTTTTGCCATCGAGCGGAGAGGGCGGGAGCTGCTGTCCCTGCATCCGGCGCCTGAGCCGGTGCCAACGCTGCAGCTCCGGCGTTCGGGACTTTTTGTGTGAGGAACTTTTGTGTGCCGAGGAGCGGCGGCGATGGAGCGAGGCCTGCGGGCATGACCTGGCCCGCGGGGAGGCAGTTTTCAACCGTCCTCGTTAGTATAGTGGTGAGTATCCCCGCCTGTCACGCGGGAGACCGGGGTTCGATTCCCCGACGGGGAGGTTGAATATGTTTTGGTTTACTTTTTAATTTTTTATTTGCGCACGGATTTCTCCGATTTCCGACGGAGCAAAAACCATTCCGTTTTGCGTGTGCGAACCAGCGCGTTCCTATCTTTCTAAAAACTGCTCAGGGATCGCGCCGGGCTCTGTACACAGCAGCTCCGGGGCCTGGCGGGGTCTCGGTGCAGCCCGGTCCGGTCCGGTCCGCCCTTCCCGCACTGGGGCCAGCGCAGCGCGGACCTGGCCGGCGGGCAGGGGATGGAGCGCGGGCAGGGGGATGTAGCTCAGCGGTAGAGCGCATGCTTTGCATGTATGAGGTCCCGGGTTCAATCCCCGGCATCTCCACGAGGGTACTGCTCTTTTACCC